TTTGATTACAAAATAAATTCGAATGGTTGTTCGTGGAGAAAAATAACCTGTTGAAAGGTCATGTAAGCTAGAGGTTGACTCACTGTAGCCAACTTCGACAACGATTGTTGGGTATGTTCTCGCGTCTGAGTTAGGTTCCTAATCAGCTGGAGCAGTATAACAATTACTTGATTCACAATAAGTAATTCCTTGGATATATAAATTCCAACTAGGCAAGAATTGTACCCGCTATCGCTCCATGACATGAGAGGAGACTTCATAAGCTTTTACGTTTCTACCAACTAAACGAATGTTCTTTCTTTCAGTTTTGAGAAGTTGATATATGCTTCGAGAGAAACATTATTAGCACATTCATTTCCATTCTTTTGCCTTATTGAAATTTAAGTGACGATCTCTGGCACGATCGAGGAGTTCTTTGTTCAACCGAAGTGAAGTCACATGCAAATCAGAGAAAGATGGAAGTTTATTAGTCATAGGTCAAAATTACCTTGATGCAGACGAATAGTTAAACGTAGAGTTGTGTTACAATTTTACAATACATGTATGTACGGTGCAGGAAATTTAAAACTCAATATTCTATGTAGAGATGATTCTTAAACTAGTACACACCGAAAATAAATTTCCTAAATTATCAATCTCAATAAACGAAGGGTCTAGAACTCTCTTTGAATAAAAACAATAAACAAAGAACAATATGTACGCAATTGCATGCTATTGAGAACGACAAATTTAGTTTATTCAATGTTAGTTAACCTTTATTCTATATAAAGTGATTGAAGTTTTTAGGTTTCCTGCGTACGTACGTATATAATTTTTACCGATTTGTCACATCTAAATTACATAAATTTACGAATTTACATTTTTAAACTATATAGCCAGTATATCATTTTCCAGTAGCTATTTTTTATAAATAATCGTAATGATAAATTATAATTTTACTAGATTCAGCTTCCATTGCTTAATTTAATGATTATAATATTTCTTTGCTAACATGATTTTGCAAATATATACATATGAATACACTATAATTAGTGAATATAAAGATAGTTTATTAACCGACGAATATATTTAAATACAGGTATTCGAGTTTGTAAATATATAATATATATATATATATTATGCTGCATCTTGATTTGCATTGAATTCAGGTGTGTTTGGTGATTCACGCTCATTATACAAAAAATCAATGAGATTAGACGTATGTTTGATTCTATAAGGTGATCGACCACCCTAGTGTAGCATCCTTTCAGCACCTGAAACGAACATTCTACAAAATAGTTAGATATTTATAGTTTACCGTATTTGCGCGTAATAACGTCCCCCTGCGCGTTATTGTGAAGCCTTGATTTAAGTAAAAACATAATGTTTTCAAAATCTTGTATTTGAATAAAGCATATTGATGCAAATATAATAACGGAATAAACAACAGGATTTACAGTTTCAAATATTACAGCTGTTTCATTATTTTTGGGACATTTGAAAAATTGGTGATGACCGAAGCGATAAGTTTTTGATATCAGTAACTTATTGATTCGACTCGATAACTTATCGATTCAGCCGTCAAAAAAATTTTCATATGCCCCAAAAATAATGAAACCAACTGTAATAAAGTTCACTTGAAAATACAAGTATTTATTATTTATTTTTTATTACGGTATTATGAAAAGAATTTAGTAGAGAACGCATTAAATTACAAAAAAGGTGAATGGGCATTATTTCAGGACGTGCATGGGCGACATTTTGAATAATTTACCTAATTTTTTACAGCTGTTTTCATAATTTCTGAAACACCTGATAAAGTTAGCCGAATGGTTTTTCAGCTAATTTGATTTGTGATTTCAGTATATAAAATATGTTTTTATATATCATTATTATAATGTCGACACACCCATCCAACATAATTAAGCTTTTGTTGCCTAACATGTTTAGTGTGTTTAATTTATGTGAAAGTTTATGAAAAAGGCAGTTCTTGTCAACCAACAAATCTGTACAAGAAACATAATAAAGGCTTCGGACATAAAATAAACTTTATAATAAACCTATTACAAGAATGGGTGCTAATATTAAAAAATTAGATATAATCAAAGATTTGTTGACATATTTTATACCGTTCATGTTTAGTTAAACGTGGTTTTCCTAAAAGTGACGGAAGGTTTTCAATTCATCCATATCGTGAAAGTGCTTGAGAACCCGACTTATAGAAGATATGCTAACACTTAGGTGTTTGGAAATTTCAATTATTTGCCAGCAAAGATGCTTTGGAAGTATCATATTCTGTATTCAATAAAAACATGTGTAAGTAGTCTTACAATATTTATATTAATCACCTGATCTTAAATTGCATATATATAATATCAATTAATTGGAATCACAATCGGCCAAAAAATTATTCAGTTAATTTTTATCATGTGTTTCAGAAATTATGAAAACAACTTTCAAATTAATGCCTTGACCTGCTATTACATGTAATAATAATTGATGAAAAATTTAAAGTTTTTATGGTAAAAAAATAAAAACGTGACTTGAAAGCAGATTTAAATTTTTTTCGATTATTTGCCAGCGAAGATTCATGAAAAATGGTCATGAGTTTCAGAACTGCATTATATTTTATTCCTTTAAACGAAAAGGGGAATTATACATCGAAATTTTTGTTGTTCAGTGTACAGGAAAAAATAGGAATAAGTTGTTCAAAATTAAATCTTTAATAATTTTTTTCAGATGTGCTGTTAATAATTGAAATTAAATCCCTTTCCGATTCCTTTTTATGGGTTTTATATAAATAGCCTATCGCTATGCGAGGCATTTTTGTTAACTTCAGAACAGTAGGAAAAAAACTCAGAATTATTCCTTAATGATTCTGTGTCTCAGTGTTTCAAGGTAAGTTGGATGCAGAACTTGTGTGCATGTTTTTTTTGGCAGAGAAGACGTGATAGATCTCTTTTTTCATTGAGATCGTTGGAAGCTTCATAACTTTTATTTTCGGTTATTTAAATTAGTTGATGCGCTCATTTTAAAATTCTGGCAAGTGCAGTCCGTACCACTTTACTGCTTTCTTTATAACTTCATTCTGTTGCTGTGCCTATAAAAGAAGAAAGAATATTTCGTTACATAAGCAGACTTAAAGAAAACTACAATCAGATTTTTGTATTTGCTTTTTAGAGTATTTGGAGGAACCAACAGTTCAAATTAGAATAGGTACGAATCAGCAGTTGTCAGGTCGTTTTCCTGTTTTGTCCTTACCTCTTCTATTCTTAATAAATACGGAATCAAGTATGAAAGTGGAATATAAATATTTGGTTGATAATTATTTTTTGGCTTTGTATTATTTGAGGGCAAGGTACGGTGCCTCCATCCGTTGCATTCACCAAAGCATCCTAGTATTTATTAAGAAATTTTCAACTTTCTTTTATTGTTGGATAGTTGAGTCGAAGTGGTGGTGGCTGAAGTATCATTACCGATCGACTAGTAGTGTACTGCTTAACCCTTTCCTTCATTATCCATTTTTCTTTTTTTTTAATAAACCTTTCCAGTTGCAAATTGTAGGTTCTGCTTTTTCTCTACGCATCGTAACAGAGTCAAGCTTTGAAACTTTTTTAAGGTCATTGTTGATCCTTTTGTTAGTGATGTAATCGGCTTGATTATCTTGGCTTGGCTCATAAATTATAGCCAAAGCTTAAGCCATCATTTTAGCAACTATAATTTAAGCTATGGCTATTAATGTGGCTAAAATTATAGTTAAGCCAGATAAATTAAACTAATAATCACGGTTTAAGCTAGTTAAGACATGGCTTTAGCTAGCTTAAATTATAGCTTAAAGCAATCCAACTTTAATTTTTAATGATATTAACTATTAGAGATTAATTGTATAATATATATATATCAGATATATATAATTATATAATAATAAAAAATAATGAATGATAGAATTAAAAGTCCGAAGTCTCATTTTCTTATATCTTCTCATAAAATAGGTTATTTCGGTATGTGTGTATATAATCGTTGATTTATTTTTACTCGACAACAGATAATGATAATATACAGTATATACAGTATGTACATTATGCTCAAAGCTTTAAACGTGAAAAACTATAACTAAAGCCAATGATTTCAGCTATTACTGGAGCTATTCTTATTCTGGCTTAAACCGTGATTTAAAGCCATAGTTTAGTTATAGTTCAAGCTGTTAGTTCAGCTTAGCTTTATTAGGCTTGGCTTAAATATATGGCTAAAAGCTGGCTTTTTTAAAGCCAATAACATCTCTAGAATTTAAAAACTTTACACATCTCATTCATCGTCTGTTGTCGCGTACATCAATTACGTGATGATCTATGCAGGCTCGACCAATAAAAATCTATCGCGGGAATGTTCAAGTTCTGTAGTTGGACCCCCGGGATAGTACTAATAAAGTAAGATTATTAAACTGGTCAAGAATTTTTACAAATAATATTCAATTTATCATTTCAAAGTTTGGCCTGCATTAAGTTTAGTGCAGGCTAAAATTCAAATTATATCTTTTTTACAATTAATATTTGATTGGCTAGATCATTAATAAACCCAACTTTCATATAATTCATTTCATATACTGTTTTGTTTTTTTAGATATTATAAATCCTATGAAAATTATTTTGTTTATCAAGTGAGTGCATCTTGATATTTATTTGGATTGTCAAACTCATGATCATAATACAAATAAGGGTCTACCCTAAAATGCAGTTGCGTCATATAAATATAAAAAAAAAAAATACAATTATTGAATTCATGAATTTATGTAACGTAACAGATATGTAATTACTTCGATTAGGACTTTACTCACGATATTGCATTTAAACAATTAATTTTCTTTTACCAATTAAAATTTAAATTCGTCATTTTATAAATTAATTAATTTAAACCCGTTGATAAAGAGTTGATAAAGAGCAAACAAAAAAATAATCTGTTAAATACATGTTAATTTCAGTTTTCTAATTTTCCTTTTTTTTTTTTTTTTTCATAAAGTAGATATGGAACTACGAAATCGAACTCGTCGTCAGGTGGATGGTATTAGCGATTACGAATATGGTGACAGTGATGATGATCTATATGTTAGTTTTGGTAAGATGATCTGTAATAATTGTTCTGTTCAATAACTCAATACCTCAATTATAACTTATTTTAACATATCCGTTGCCCATTCTGTTTCTAATTTGTATTTTTAAATAGTAACACCATCATCCCGTAATTCTTCATTAATTTACAACAATACTAACACCTCCACCATGGCTTCTGGATCTCTTTTAGACAGTGTTAAAAATTCGGATAATTACATTTTCATTGAGATAGCTCAGGTTGTTATAAAACCTTCAGAGATACAATTATCCACTCAAAAATTGCAGGGCATGGTTAAGTCAAATTTAGGCCTGATTTTTAGAAAACCGAGTCAAATTTGTATTGTTATGGTTGATGAAAACAAAGAAATTGCTTTTGATTTGGATCAGGTTACGAAGTTTCGATTTAGTGATGTAACAGGTCAAAAGGAGATATTACTAGATGTGAAAAAAGGATTTAAGAGAGATGTGAGTGAATAAACGATAATTTGAAATTTTGATAATTAAATATTTCTTTTATGATTAATTTTTTTTTTTTTTCATATCAATATTGGATATTCACAGTTTTACGAATTTCCTCTTAGAAGTCTTGATGATAGGCTTCAAATTCCCTGTGATCCAAGTCGTGGAAAGCTGGATGATGCAGATACTATTATATTCAAAATATGTAAATATGTTGATAACAGTTTAATAGTTAAGTTGATCAACAATATTAAACATTGGAAATCGACCAATGTAAAGGTACATTTGACCCTCTGACTCTTACCTGAAATATCATTTATTTATTTCTTGGTTGCCTATTAGTTTTGAGTATGCTTTATTCTTAATTTCTGTAGCAACCACCACAATACAACGCAGAGAATTCACAAAATTCCAAAAATAATATAGTAAATCAAGAGGTAAGATTTGCTTTAAATAATGTATATTGTAAAACTTTATATAATATTTATTCTTGTTATTATCATTGTGTTTCAATAATTATTAGGTAAATAAGAAAGGTTCATTCATCAAACCTGCTCGAGATGACCATTGTGACATACGATCCAATATTGGAATAATTGCACTTGATAACGATGTAAACAATGGATCTCAAACTCATAATAAAAATCATGTTAATGATAATATTACTGATTGGATAAATGAAAATAAAGAAAAGTGGACAAATAATGATAAAGAAAAGTGGACAAATAATGATAAAGAAAAGTGGACAAATAATGATAAAGAAAAGTGGACAAATAATGATAAAGAAAAGTGGAAAAATGATGATAAAGAAAAGTGGAAAAATGGTGATAAAGAAAAATGGAAAAATGATGATAAAGAAAAGTGGACAAACGATGATATTAGTCAAGCTTCTAGTTCCACGATTACTATTCAGCCCGAAAAAGGAGATGCATTAAAGGCTTCTAAAAATTCTCACAGTGATTCAGAGGTACTTTAACTTATTTCCAATCTTATTAATTTCCTCAATTCTCTTGATTATATAATTTATTCTCATCCACGATTCAGCTCCACATCACGTGTATTTTTATAACCAAAAAATATGCGATTCTAGTTTCATTCGATATTTATCTTAAACAATTAACAGCACTTATCGAAGAACGGTATAATGTTAAAATTTCCATGGATAGATTATATTATTTAAATCATGTTGGGGAAAAGATTAGTCTGATCGACGAAGAAGATTGGGATGTTGCAAAGAAGGAAGCGATGAATGCCCAAACTTTCAGGATCAGCCTGGTTGTAGAGTAGAGATTTATGAATGTCAGAAATAACTTGCACTATATAAAACAGTTTAAAATTTTCGCATATGTATAATAATTACGATTGTTTTTACAATGTGATATATATATACTTTATGATAGTTATTCTGATGTAATTTTAATATATGATGCTTTTATGTCGCATCAAAATTTTCCAAATTCATGATTTCTTATTATTATTATTTTTTTTGGAATTTACTGTGTGTGCTTGATTAGCATATTAATACTTGTTTGTCAACATGACCCATAAAACAGACTAACTGAAAAACAGTACCTTTCACAAATTGTGACGTTTTTCTTACCATGATAGAAATTTAGAGAGAAAGTTTATCATTAACTTCACTGCGAAGTGATTTACATCAGATATCAATTTGTGATCTGTTAAACATTCCATATAAATATGAAGATTGCTTGTCATACTTCAGCAATATGCACAAGTGTATAAGTAATATATATCTACAATTGAGAAATATTTTATCGTTATATATTATATGACATGTTACCAACATAATACTTATATTAATTTTGTTATTTTGTTGAGGCGTTTAGATCATGGTTTATTTTGTAATAAATTAATGAAGTGTAAAAAATTATAAAAGTAACTATTTAATAAATTTAATAAAAAATTTTTATTAAATTCTGCAGATATATAAAGTTTAAATAAATAAGTTAATTAATTTTATTATAGTTGTTAAGATATATTTGCTTAAAATTCAAAAAAAAAATTAAAATACAGTATTTAAATATTAAAAATTTTTTAAACTTAATATAAAGATAAGAAAATTTTAATTAAATTTTACAAATTTATAAATTATTGTACTATAAAAAAAATTTTTTTTTTACTAATTTTATAAGTAGTAGTTATATATTTTTTATTCTAAGTTTATGATAATTAAAAAAAATAAAAAATTTTTATCAAATTTTATTAAGTAGTTATGATATTTTTATTTAAAAATTTAAAAAATTTATTAAAAATTTAAAGCTTTAAATTTTATATATCTGCAAATTTAAATAAAACATTTTTATTAAATTTTATCAAGTAGTTGCTATATATTTTTTTTAAAAAATTTAGCTTTTTTTTTTATTTAAATTAGATAAATTTTAATTTTTTTAGATTTATATAGTATTTACGAGTTCTTTAAGATTTGAAGCAAGCTTTTTGAAATAATTTTTACATGCTACAGAGCCCTGAATTTGACATCAACATATATATTAGCCCATATAAGTGATGTGATCTACTATCCCAATCGCACCAACGAGGAGGTTAATACCAAGCGACTATATGACTTTACTAAAATAAAATATATGTATAAACGAAATCTTAAAAAAAAAACAATTCGTCAACGTATTTTGATCAAAACGCGATCATCAACTAATCAAAAATTGTTATCAAAGATAGTGCTTGTACCACGATTATGACAAGAACACTAAGCTTGAATAGAAAGTATTCTTTAAGCATTTGGTTGTGGTTTTCCTTAAAAACTTTTTCAAAGCCTTACAATAAATACTGTACGTTTTGCTACACGTAGTTTAGTATTTATAAATTATTTTAGGCACTATAGTAGTAATATTGATAGCATGACTTTTTTGTTAAATAAATTTAGAACTAGCAACTAAGTTGATTCTGAACCTAAAGATGCACCGTGTCCGCCTACAACGGGTATAAATTGAATTCAATTATACATAATTTTATTTAAAATTCTGTTGCAATGTGTATAATGTACATATGAATTGATTGCAACTATAGTTGTTAGACGAAACCTTTTTTGCATGATGACGAAAGACGAAACCTAAACCCCCAAAAGACGAAGCTTCTGACGAATAATCCAGTAATCCAGTTCATTTTTTTTAAACAACGCTAGGGTTGTTATAGACCGGTTGAAATTACAGAATTACCTTGTCAAAAGCCATAATAATAGTACGCATGGAATAACACAAACAATGAATTAAAACATACTGGCACAAAATAAATAAACAAATTTGTAAGATCACAAAGTAAGCACCAAACGATTTCTCACTAGAACTGATATGTAGTGTACTAGTATAATACAATATCAGATATAGAATACTCATTTCTAACTCTCTTTAAACAAATTCAAGCGTCTATTATACAATAAAATTTTTTGTAAGTTTTATAAATTTCTGATTTTGTTAGTTTGTTTTTTTGTACACATAATCTTCAATGAGTTCCAACAACATTATTTGTATATTCGTCTTTTATTAGTTTTGTCACTCATTCATTACTTTCGTCACCTTTCACCAGCTTCGTCACCTTTCGTCAGCATCGCCTTTCGTCAGTTTCGTCACCTTTCGTTATTTCGTCATTTAAGATTTTAATTGGCGCGAAACCTCGAGGTTTCGTCTAACAACTATAATTGCAACAGATGTATTGTTCTTAATAAATTTAACTTTTTATTTAGAGCCCATTACTATATTTGACTGGTTGATGAGATATAGCAATAAGGGTGTGATTTGGTAAATTTAAGTTAATGCAAAAATTCTTATCGTTATTATAGTACAAGGCAGTATAATATTTATCAATTATCAACAAATTGGGGAAATGTGATTTTTTATTAAAAAGTTTAAAAAATACAAATTTGGCGTTTAAATGTAATTCGATTGGTCAATATTACTGTTATGGATTATGAAACTAAATAAAACTTGGCGTTTTGCTAAAAAGTTGTCTCACACTATCCAGCGCTGTACCAAAATATCATAAAAATACATACTACTACTGTATAATTTTTCTACAAAGTATATATATATTATCGTTATATCCAATTTATATATCCAATTTTAGGGCATTATCGACTTATTAAACATACAAGCCGATAACTCAGGCAATTTGTTTTTTACTATACATAACCTTATTATTATGTCATACAGTATTATATATATTGTTATTTTCTCTTATAACATAGTAAATTTTTAAAACAATATTACATTAATAACAAATGAAAATGAAATTTCGTATAAGAGAACTAAAAGAGAACTATAATTGATTTAGCAAGTTAATTCGATGTGAATGGCGCAGTAGTTGGAATTTTATAAAAGGATAATCACAAATTTTTTCTCGATTTTTTTTTTTTATCTGCAAAAATAAATAAAAGCAAGAGATGAAATATTTTATTCAATTTGCTCAATGTACATATATTTTTTACCAGTTAAATTAATTGCTTTAAGACAGATTCATCGTAAGGATTACTATTAATACTAACAATATTTTAATCTTATGATTAAATGTCGGTTATTATATTAGTTCATGAAGAATTTAGACTACCAGAGCTTGAATCATTAGCAAAAATTGAAGATGTAAAATTGACATATAATAAAGAAGAATATAAAAAAAATGTAAGTTCGAAAGTTATCTTTTTTTTGACTATACTCATCTCACTTTCTTATATGGCTAAATAGTGTCCATTTTTGGTCGTTAACATTGAAACTGAGGAAGAAGCGACAAGACTTGTTAAACGAGCTATATTGATAAAGTGGGTAATTATATCTTGGTTTAAAAGTTATTTTCTTATTAATATATATATTTGGTAACTGTAGAAATATTTATGAATTATGGGGAATGGGTGAAACATATGATGAAGTGCATGCTCAAGTAAAAGCTTGTCCTGAACGATGGGTAATGAGATTAATAATTATTCTATAATTTTCATATCAATTATAATTTTTTACACTACTTTTCAAATAATGATTTTTTATTTACAATAGTCTTCATATATCCATAAATCATTTAAATTCATGGTATCAGGCTTCGGATCCACATGTTCATCAGATTATCAAGTTCGTATAATCAATTCTTTTTCTTATCTTGGATTTAAAGGAGATATCGACTTAAAAAATCCACAAGTACAATTTGGTGTATTAGAAGACTATGGGCTAGACCCTTATGCTGCACTTCCACCACCAAATCCTTATACTATATATTTTGGGCGATTGGTGAGTTTTATCTAAATATTTTGTTCATTTACTAAAAAAAAAAAAAAATCAAAAAAACCGTTTTTTTTCATGTTATTAAGATCTTTATTTTTTATTGCATAATAGATTGCTTCTGGAAATAGGGATCTGGTTCAGAAGTACAATTTAAAAAAGAGAAATTATATCGGAAATACGTCAATGGACGCTGAATTATCATTGATAATGGCTAATCAAGCATTGGTTCGTTTCTTTTTTGTTTATTATAATTTTATTCTTCCAATATAAGTAGGTTCTATTTTTTTTTTGCGATACATAGGCTTCTCCGGGAAAGCTGATATATGATCCGTTCGTAGGTACAGGCAGCTTTCTTTTAACATGTGCACATTTTGGCGCGTTCACTCTGGGGTCAGACATTGACGGACGGCAAATTCGTGGACAAGGTTTTATAAAAATCTTTTTTATATTAAATTCATACCATTCTTATTAATGAGCCTATCAATGTTCCCATTAATGATCTCTATTATGATTATTGTGCGTAAATTTTGTAGTGGATAGATCTGTAAAATCCAACATAGATCAATATAATCTAGGTGACAAAGTCTTGGATACCTTAGTCTTTGATATATGTTATCATCCGTGGCGAGAAAATCTTTGGTTTGATGCAATTGTGACCGATCGTATGTGAATGATTTAATTATAATTTATTATCATCCTTATGTTGATTCAGTCTCCTCAATCTAAAAATTTTTTTCGAGAATAGCACCGTATGGTGTTAGGGCGGGTGCAAAAAAACTCGGAAGAAAAGATCCAACAAAACGGTCGCGAGTAATAGATGGCGTACCAGCTCACAAGTACGTTATGGACATCACATTTCATTTGCAATATCAGTCTAATTGTTATTTATTTGATTTTAAACAAAAAGACGCGAAAATTATTATCCGCCAACAAAACCATACGAAATGTCTGAAGTGCTCATAGATCTCTTGGAATTCGCTGCACGATTTTTAGTAGTTGGCGGCCGCTTAGTATATTGGTTACCAACTATCGTTGATGAGTATGTCA